TTTTTCATTATTTGGCACAATTTATCAATAACATCACTTCTGTAAATGCATTATGTATTAATGTTTCTATATTACGTGTTCTTTTTCTTGTACATATACTATGGGATATGAAATTATTTTATTACAATATCTCTTACCGAGTATTAAAGTATGTGTTTAAACCCATCAACATTGAATTACGGGGAAGTGTACCATTCAACATGCGCCATATAGCGGGTCCTATAATGAAAACGTAGAATATAATTGTATTTATTTCAAATAAATTTACATATTACAGTATCCATAAATCCGTGAATATAATATACAAAGAAGAAGTAGGTTCAAACAGAAATTTCCGTTTCTTCTATTATAGCAATCTTTGATTAACGGTAAAGAAATGTACAATCGAAACCTTTTAACCTCATTTTTGATATTTTTTGTTTAGCATATATGATCTTGTTTATTTTATTTACATACGTGTACATTTATTTTATTTATATATTAAATAAAATTTATTAAACACACAAAATTGTATACCTATGATACGAGAAAATGGAAAATGTGAACAAATTTCAGATATACTGCTTGTGTTTGTTGCAAAAGAGTTCATAGCGGAATAAGAGTTTAGATGAAGAGCTTCATGTTGAGTTTCAACTACCAACAAATTTGTGATGTTTTCAAAATCTGGATAGACCTGCAAACAGATTGAAGTGATCAATACGATTTAACGATATACACTAATGCATGCAAAATTATTTGTTGTTTTAAAAATAACTTCGCTATTTTATATCATAAAAAATTATAATATTTTTAATTTAAAGACAATAGATGTAACTATTTAATGTTAAAAAAATAGTATTAAAATTATTTAACAAATTCAGTTATTGTAAGAAATTGAAAAAATCAAATTATGTGTTAGCATTTCTTTCTTTTCTTAATGGATAAAACAGAAACTACTAAGAATTTTTTACATTGTCACAATAACCAAAAATATTATTTGTAATTGCATAAGCCAATTAGTGTTGGAAATGTAAGATAACCTTTTTGATGATATGTGTTTCAAGGAATGTAATAAATCCTTCATTTAATAACCGATGAGATGAGAGACAAAATGGAGTGAAGAGATTACCAAACCATTGATATATTATATCACGAGTTACTGAGCGCATTACTGTAATTTTATACGAAGCAGGATGTAACTCTTCATTGTAGATAATATCTGCTTCACTGGAAATTATTCAAAAACGATTATATCGAAATGTTTTATAAGCCTCCATAGTTCGCAT